CTATTAATCGGTTTATGTTAAAGCCTGGTATAAAAACTAGACTGCCTGAAGCATTGCCTGGAGACGGGTTAGTGAGGGACTAGCAAAACCAGCTGTTAGATACAAATGTCTGTAGCGTTACAGTTAAGTTACTTGTCTTTCCTGAGTAGTTAAAAAAGGAGCGCAAGGTTGAGAATCAACCAAATAATTAAAAGACTAGATCATCTGCAGCGGTGAGTACGATACTGCTTGGTGGGTTTTCTTAGTGACATTTATTTACTGTAACATGTACGTGTGTACCTTGATATAGAGCTGAGCTGGCATCCACTCACCCAACACAGTAAAGCCAGACGCTCACACCGCGGTTTTGGAGTGATGTAAAGGAAGGCGTTTATTGCAGAGCGCTAGGCAAGGAGGCCAGTGTCGCTCTAATCCTGGCCTCCCCATGGCTGCAGCAAGGATTTTTAAAGGCAGGGGTGCAGAAGCTACAGGCAACATCATAAATCAGCCCATGGAGGCCACACATGTTGAAGCTTGAAAGGACAGGGCACGCTGTCGCCGGGGCTCACGGATCATAGATGGATTCAGAGATCTTCTCATTTGCAACTGGTTAAAGAAAAGAAGCTTTGTTCAAAAAATTGGGGGTCGACAGAAACATGTTAACTTGCTAGGAAGACTTTCTCCAAGGCCCTCAGGAAGAATTCAGAGCAAAGGACAATCCTTGTAGTTGTGTCCTCACTTCCCCCTAATCTGGGGTCTGTGTGTGGTGGGGACCTTATGGGGTCAGAGCCTGTGAAGGACAGTTCAAGGGCAATATCCAGGTGTTATCTTTAGTTTCCGGAAGAAAGCAAACAGCTCTGGAGCTCTGGCTTCCTTGGCTATTGTTTTAGGTGATTAACTTCTTAACAAGCTGCTTAAGTTCCCTGGGGCTAGCTGGATACCTGGAGTGTTTCTGAAAAGAACTCTGGAATTTTCCTTCACTTCCATGCATGGGGGTTTTCAGGCTCCTAAAGTGGGGGTTTCTGCTTCATTTCAACTTCTCTGCAGAAGATTATGATTAGAAAATTATCAAAAATAAATTCATCTTTCTGTAAAACCAGGAAGTTATCATAAAATTATATTGATCATTAATAGAAGTCATTATGAGAAATATATATGAATAAAAATATATATTTTTTGCTTTTGGAAGGGACTTAGAATGATAACTAATAGATTTGTCTTCTGAAAAAAAAAATTAAATCCAACTTTATCAGAAATAGATTTCTGGAACTGTGACTATTTTGCCCAGATCATAAAGCTGGCTTGGAATTAAGAAGGGCCTGGACACAAATACTTTGCTCATCAAGTCATAATAAATATTATTCAGATTTTATTACAGCATAAATTCTAGTTTAGCCAGCATCACAAGTGTCAGGAATTCGTATTAATATTAATCATACGAATGTGAGCAATGGAATTAAGAGTAATCTAAAACCGGACTTTTTTTTGGATTTCAAATAACAGAGTAGTATTTAATTTGTAATGAATATCACACAGTTGTTTTGTACAATCATAAAATCCATATTGGGAATTGATTAATTTTTTTTTTTTTAAGTTCAGTGGTACAAGTGCAGGTTCGTTACACAGGTAGATGTGTGTCATGGGGATTTGCGATACAAATTGTTTCCTTATCCAGATATTAAGCCCAGTGTCCATTAGTTGCTTTTCTTGCTCCTCCGCCTCCTCCCCCTCCACCTCCCACAGGCCCCTGTGGATGTTGCTCCCCTTTATACATCCCTGAGTTCTCATCATTTAGCTCCCACTTATCAGACAGAACATGCACATTTGTTTTCTCTCCATTAGTTTCCTTAGGATAATGGCCTCCACTTCCATCCATGTTCCTGCCAAGGACATGATCTGGTTCTTTTTTCTGGCTGCATAGTATTCCACAGTGTACATGTATGACATTTTCTTTATCCAGTCTACCAATGATGGCATTTAGGTTGATTCCATGTTTTTGCTATTGTGAATAGCGCTGCAGTGAACGTGCATGTGTCTTAATGGTAGAATTATATATATTCCTCTGGGTTAATACCCAGTCATGGGATTGCTTGGTGCAATGGTAGTTCTGGTTTTAGGTCTTTGAGGCATCACCACCCTGTCTACCACAGTGGTTGAATAATTTACACTCCCACCAACAGTGTATAAGGAATTCCTTTTTTTCCGCCACCTTGTCTGTGTGTGTTATTTTTTGAGTTTTTAGTAATAGCCAGGAATTTATACTAAATTAATGACAGAACACGTGTAAATATTAATCATATTAATAATGTAAGCAATGTAATCTAAAAGACGATTTCAAATTGAATAAACTTGTATGAGTTCGTTTTCACACTGCTATAAAGAACTGCCTGAAACTGGGTAATTTATAAAGAAAAGAGGTTTAACTGACTCACAGTTCGGCAGGGCTGGGGAGGCCTCAGGAAACTTAGTCAAGGCGGAAGAAGAACAGGTATGTCTTGTGTGGCGGCAGGCGAGGGAGAGTGTGTGAGAGCACAGAGAAAAACCACCATCTATAATATAAACCAGATCTCCGGAGAACTCACTGTCACGGCAACAGTGTGGGGGAGACCGCCCCGATGATCCAATCCCCTCCCACCAGGTCTCTCCCTAAATACCTGGGGATTACAATGCAGGATGAGATTTGGGTGGGGATATCAATGGAATCAATATCAAACTCTATTGATTAAACTTTGAATATGATTTTTAGTGCCAAAGAGGGCTTCGTTAAGATGATTCTATTCTTTATTTTCTATTTCCTCCATTCTTGTGACTGAAAAATGTCCTTTCCCAAGGATTTTAACACCTTCACCTATAAAGCTTCTGGGATTTGACAGCTTTTTTTTTCTTTTGCTGCTATTGGTTACTTTAAATTACAAGTATAGGCACTTACTCTATGTAACGTTGTGGGGTTTTTTGTTTTGTTTTTGCTTAACAAATATACGTCAGTTAGTATTTTCCAAGCTGCCTAAGCAAAGCCTTTGTCCCCAGATCCAGTTTCAAGAATTAAAAAGCAGCTTCAGGACACAGTTTCATGACAGCAAAAGCAAAGCTAAGGACCCAGATGGCTGTCTGAGTCCATCTCGTCTCAGGGGAAAGAGCCTTTGACGGTGCGTCGGCAGAGAGGTGGAAATGGGTTTTATGAAGCATGCAGACATAGTCACTTACAAATTTCTCACCTTGGATCCTGGAATTTTTTTTTTTGGGGGGTTTGGTTTTTTGGTTTTGTTTTTTCCCGTTTCTTAAGAAGCGCTAGACTCTGAAAAGGAGCATGAGGTGTTTCAAGAAACGGAGCATGGCACATCTGAGGGGAGCGACAGTCTCAGCCATGCCGGGAAGCATCCTTCCCAGGAACGGCAGGTTGGGAACTAAGCCTCTGTTTGAAAACAGCCAGACCCCTCCGTGGATCCCTAAGCTTACGAACGCAGGTGATGGCCACTTGTGTGGACGGTATGAGCTGGTGACATTTCTGGTAGAAAAACACGAAGGGGACATTCATGATGACGAAACAGCAGATCTCTGTTGAACACGGGGATTGGTGGGAATCGTCGCAGGGAAGGTTGCCAGCTGTTTAATCACAAGCAATCATTTTTCTAAGTTAAGAAATGAGATTTAAACTGCTTTGCAGTTTGCCTCTTGTCACAGGCTGTAGAATCAATGAGCCAGATCCTCCAAAAATGAAACTTTATTCAAGTCAAGAGGCTCATTCTCTTCCCGTGCTAAAGATTTTTTTCGCAACCTGCTCACAAAAAAATCCACGTGAGTGATTTGAGATTCCCCTTGCCTTCCTCTTGCTTCCAGGGGAAGCTGCCAGGTAAAAGCTGTAAGGAGCCCAGTATCGCACTGTGCCGAGGGGCAGGACGCCTGCCTTTGAAGACCCCTGGGTTCTGCTGCCCTTAGGCACATGGGTTGGATTGACCCCATGCCTGGCCTCAATTTCTAGCCCTCTCATTTACCAGTGAATAGACTTCAAATGTCTTTTAAAAAACTCCCCTCCGTCAGCCATGAAGGGGGGCTTGTAACTCAGATGCCCCACGGCCTGTCCACTGCAGATGCTCATGGGAGAAAAGGGAGTGGGACCACGGAGCGGGACCACAGCCTCCCTGCGGCAGCAACCCTGGACAGCACTCTGGTTCCCCAGACAGGCCGGGGCGGACGCCCTCCTCATCATCAGGCTGGCTTTGCATAATCAAAGCTTCCTTCCTGAGGGTCACGGCAGACAACGTGACTAGCACCAAATACAGCGCCTGGTGTGTAGACAATGCAGGGCGCTGAGATCTAGTGCCTGGTGCACAGCAGACCCATGGATGGCTCTGAACACGTGACTACACTCAGTAAAGGCGTCTTTCTCTATGTTCTGCAAGTTGAATGTGGATTCCCCCAGCCTCGTGCCCGAAGAGAGTGAGGAACCACCTGAAGCCAGCTCTCGAGGCTGGCAAACGTGGAGGCCAGAGAGCAGGAGGACACGGGGCGTGCTGATGGCGCAGGTGCGCCGGGAATCCCAGGCCTGGCTGCTCTCCAGAATGGCAGTTTTTAAATGTAGTGATCCTAAATGGTGAAGAGTGAATGCTCAAAACAAACAAAGACATTTGACAGCAGCTGTCGAGTGCCGGAGGTATTCTCTCTGCGCTGCTTCAGCTTGTGTGTGTAGTATGTCTGAAAAACTGTAACTCTGCCCCTCAAGATGGTGCCCAGCCACCGTGCTAGCTCGGGCCGTGATCCCAGCATGGCTCAAACAACAGGAACTTACGTTCTTGCAGTTCTGGAGGCTGGCAGTCCGAGGACAAGAGGGCCACAGCCTGGCTGGTGTCTCCTGAGGCCTCTCTGCCGGCTTGCGGTGTGGCCTCCTCCCTGTGTGCTGTGGCCTCCCCTCTGCGCGTGTGCAGGGAGAGCCCTGGCACCTGTTCACCTTGTTACAAGGACACCGGTCCTGTTGGATTAGGGTTCCCTCAAAACCTCATTTAACCTGGATTATTTCTTTCTAGGCCATCTCCAGACTATAGTCACATTGGGCTGGGGCATGAAGTATGGATTTGGGGTGTGTGTAATTCAGTCCAAACCACAGAAGCCGCCCCGAGCCGACGTCCCGCTATCGGTGAGGCTGCAGGACGCTGTCACGTTACTGCATGGAGCCTCTCGCTGTCTGAGCGGTCACCTGAAGCCGGCCCACGCTGTTTCCTTATTCTGTGCACTGGAGCAAAAACGTTTAACTGACTACGATGGGTGATTCCTAAAGTTATATTGGACTCGGAAAAAAATGCATTGGTAAAACTCACTCTTTGAATGTTTCTAGTATTCAGAGTCCAGGTCAGAGTCCGGGTCACTATCTTTCTATAATGATTGGTATCTGAAACAAGAACACTGGCTACAATGTACAGTCTTGCTCTGTCTACTGTATAAACTTCCCCAATCAAATATTTTTCATAAAAATGTTTTTGGAAATGAAAAGTTACAACCTGGTTCCCAGCTCTCTTTTTATTTTTTTTCTCTTAAGACAGAGTCTCACTCTTGCTCAGGCTGGAGCGCAGTGACGCGATCTCGGCTCACTGCAACCTCCGCCTCCCGGGTTCAAGCGGTTCTCATGCTTCACCCCCTGGGGTAGCTGGGACTACAGGCGCAGGCTGCTATGCCGGTCACAAACTCCAGGCCTCAAGCAGTCCACCCGCCTCAGCCTCCCAACATGCAGGATTACAGGCGTGAGCCACAATGCCCGGCCCCGTCTCTCGATGGAACATTTTCGAGGGCATCACCTCATCACATCCACCCTGCCCCGCTGACACCAGGACGGGCGGCTCTCAATCCCTCGATGCTACGATTCCAGCAGAGTGAGCCTGAGAATGGATTTGAGGGGACGCAGGTGTCTCCTGGCTCACTGGTGCTCAGCTTTGGAAAGGGCAGCCCGTTAGAAACCCGAGAAGACGCTGAGAAGTACAAGTGCGAATAAAGTGACATTCCCGACCTGACATTCCCGATCTGACATTCCTGACCTGACATTCCTGACGTGACATTCCCGACATCACATTCCCGACATGATATTCCTGACGTCACTTTCCCAACCCGACATTCCCGACCTGACTTTCCCGATGCCACATTCCCGACCTGACATTCCTGATCAATTCCATCTTTAAGTGGAATGTTGCTGGCCCCGCTCTCAGGTCTGGAAAAATCTTTTCTGAAGCCAAGTTCCAGCCTGCAGCGGTGCCTTCTCCTCCTGTTTATTTACTAGTTCTGGCCTGTGCGGCTGGTGGGAAACGTTCCCCCTGCCTTGGCCCCCTGGCTGGTTACGCATCGTTCTGGTTGAAGGAACTTTTGAAATTGCTCTGAAGTCCTGGTTGTTCAGGTGTTTCCCTGGGTGATGACTGCGTTTCCTGGGTGCCTGCTGCCAGCCTCTGCAGCCTGGCTGGGGGGACGTGGATGCGGGTGGCCTGCTGGGCCACCTGTGAGACTGGGGTATGTGCAGGGCAGGGGGAGCTCCCAGCCACCAATGGCTGCCCCTCATTGCCGCTGTGTTCTCTGCCAACATTTGTGCTTATCTTACAAAAGCAGGTCAGTAAGCACTGTCTCAGCTGAGGCCGCCGGGACGCAGTACCGTAGGCCGGGCAGCCTTGGCAGCAGACATTTCCTTCTCACAAGGCCGTGATCAAGGTGCAGCAGGTGTGGAATCTGCAGTGGACGGTGTCCTGGCTCACAGATGACGCCCTCTCGTGTGTCCTCATGTGGGGCGAGGGGCGAGGGGCCTCCCTGGGCCCCGTTATTCAGGAGCTTCACCCTCTTAACCTAGTCACCTCCCAAAGCCATCACCTCCCAAAGCCATCACCTCGGGGGTTAAGATTTCACCATGGGAGTGTTGGGTACGCAAACGTTCTGCCCATGGCAAATAGGAAGCCCACAGATCACTAATTAACGTGAAGCCCAGAGAGACACCTTATCAGGGGAAGAGTGAGACCACCTAGAACTGGCACCCGACGCGCCCGTATTATTTCAGGACCTTCGTGGAGAGGGAGTGAGGATGGTGCCTGGCACAGGTTTTGGGGTCTGTCAGTTCCCAGGGGCTCTCTCAGCACTGTAAGTGTATTAACTTATTTAATTCTCATCAGGGGTCTAGGGCATAGGGTTCTGTTACCAGCTCTGGTTGAGGTGAGGGAAATGCGGGGGAAGCAAGGGGATTTCCCTGAGGTCACACGACTGGTATTTGGCAGAGCGAGGCTTGAACTTGGGTATTCTGGGGCCTGAGCCAGCCTTGCTGCCCTCTCCACTATACAGGAATATGGCACATTTTCATAACATTACGCATTTTAAGTGGTGCTTTTTTGCTATGTAAGCATCGTAACAGTGTGGCTATCAGCCCAGTGGGAAGAATCGTCTCCCATTTCCATTACAAGGAAACCTAGATTCAGAGCAGATAACAGCACTCGGCCAGCCAGCGGGGAGGTGCGACCAGAGCGACACGAAACTCTGGGCCTCAGCGCTCGTCCCGCTCTGCCAAGGGCATTCCTGGACGAAGCATTGCCGGGTGGGTGACATCGCCTCTGCTCCTTGGGTGGCCCCGGCACGGTCCCATGCCTTCCCTCTGGCCTCCCTTCCATCTGGAAGGCAGAAGAAGGTACACACCTGCTCCGTCCTCTGCAGTCTCCCCCGTGCCTCGTGCCCCAGGGCACTCATTCATTCCCCACCAGTGGTCTGTCCCAGCAACTCCCAGAACCAGCCCTGGTGCCCCTCGGACCCTCCCTTTCCTCACTCAGCCCGGCTGGGGGCTGACTTCCCAGGTCGTCCTCCTGTATTTCTTGCCGCCTTGTTCTTTTTAAATCCCCTGCCTGGGCCAGGCACGGTGACTCACGCCTGCAATCCCAGCACTTTGGGAGGCTGAGACGGGCAGATCACTTGAGGTCAGGAGTTCAGAGACCACCTGGCCTACAGGGTGAAACCCTGTCTCTACTAAAAATACAAAAATTAGCTAGACACGGTGGCACGTGCCTGTAATCCCAGCTACTCAGAGGCCGAGGCAGGAGAATCAGCAGAAAAATCGCTTGAACCCCGGGGGCGGAGGTTGCAGTGAACAGAGATCATGCCACTGCGCTCAGGCCTGGGTGACAGGGCAAGACTTTGTCTCAAAAATAAATAAATGATAAGGTATCTGGCTTCTTCATTGAAGGTGTGGCAGGAAAGTGGTTTGGTTTCCTTGGACCTGTCTTTGTTGAGTTCAGGACTCTGCTGTGTGCTGTGGATGGTAATGATGGGGAGGTTGTCTGGAAAAGGTAGCTTTCTCCTGGGGAGGGGCTGAGGGACTTTTACAGAGGGGCTGGGTCATGATTTCTAATGCGGGTGTGGGAGTGACGGGATTCGCTGAGATTAGAGAAGGGTGTTCGCTTCAAGTGAGTGTTGAAAGTTGAATCCTTTTTAAATTAACTCATTTTTAAGTTCTGTAACTGGATTTCCCAACAAAACTGAATTTGGGCTAAAGAAACCCAATTGAACCTGATTTATGTTATGCTTGATAAAGCATTTCAAGCATTATTTTATGCTTGAAAATTCATGGGCACAGGAATCAGAACTCTTGAATTCAACGCACCTGATGTTGAGAAGAAAGGCTATATTATTAAAAAAAGAAAAATGTAATCCAAAATATTGGTGTTGTGGTCAAACGGGATCTTTCTTATATGATTAATGGGAACACAGACAGCCACAACCTTTATAAGAGATTACACCAATTCTAGAATATTTTTCCTGTGGACATACTCAAAGACATGGGTAAATATTAGCAAAAATTTGGAAACAACCTTCAAGTTCTAACATAGAGGAATGAGAAAATGAATTATGTACCAAAAACTTGGCAATAGAAATCATAGTTTTGAAGAATATTTAATACCACGAGTAAAGTGCTTAACATATAAAAATGACTGAAAAATACGACTCAAGGCCGAATACTAATGATATTTATACAAAAGCTTAATGCTTATGCTTAGATTTTAGATTTCTTTGTTTCTTTATATTTTGAAAAATATTTTCAAAAATTTCTGAAATGAACTCATATTAAGTTTATAATTTTTAAGCATGCTATCAACATTGTATATGGAAAAATTCAAAAATAAGTAAGCTTTTTGCTTAAGAATGGTTTGGAAAAATATATCTCAAGGTATTTTGCTGCTTTTTGGATGATTTAGAAATGTCCATATTCTGCGTACATATATAAGTTTTTTTTTTTGCTATGAAATTACTTTTTTTTTTCTTTGTTGAACTCTTTTTTTTTTTGAAATTGCCATTTTTTAGACAATTGTTTTTCATAAGAAATCTTTGGAAAGTAAATTTGCATTTTATTTAAGGATTTGAAGATCTTTAAGGTTCTGAGAGGTTGCTGTACAGTTTTTTGTGTGTATTAATTGGATAATAAAATTATGCATCATAAAGTGGTTCACCAACAAATTGAAGAGTTATACAGTTAATTTTTCTCTGAAGAAAAAAAGTATGACACATAAGCCATGAGTTCTGAGCATCAGATGCCTCATAATTTTAAATGTAATAGAAAATGAGTCGATAGGCTTAGCACATCCCTTGAACGTAGAGATTTGCAGGAAGAAACTAGATGGAGTGTTCGTACGCAGAGGTCAGCAGGGAAGCTAGTGTTGCCTCACCGCTTCGATAGATATTCGTGAACTATTTGGGTCTAGTGTAGAACATGTTTTGTAAAAGTGCCATAAGAGGAGAACACGTGGCATTTCCGCCGTGAAGAGATGAAAAGGGCAGATCTTGATTCGTGCTTGTCCTGTGAGCCCTGGCGTCACAGGGTTTTGGGAAGTGCCTCGACTTAGGGGAAGTGGTACCAGCTGTTCCACTGGCCGTTGGAATGGCTTTGCCAGGGCAGAACGGAGCTGCCGTTGTCGGGCTTGCATTGCTGGAGTCAGGACAGTTCTAGGCATGGGGAGGGTGAGGGGAGGGAGGTTAGGCAGAGGATTGAAAAGCAGGGAAGGCCAGCCCTTCACGAGAGACCCAGTGGGAGGAGGAGACGCTGGGATCGTGGCAGGGGGAACCGCAGGCGGGCAGGGCACACCCAGATTTCTGAAGAGCCAAGAGGGGTCGCATCTCCTTCCTTTCAGAATTGCTCATCGTGTTCTCATAGAGACTTTGGAGAGCAGAACTACACAGGATAGAGGCCGTTTTTCCTGAGATTGGATTTATAGGAAGCTCGCGGGACGGCATCCCCTCTGCAGGGGCCTCCCGAGTGTGGGGACTGTGGTCACAAGGCCCACAGCTGCTTGACGTTAGTGCAGTGGCTACCCTCCAGCCAGGGTTCTCCCCTTTATCAATTGGGGGAAACAGTCTCTCCCAGTCTCTGCTGCTGTTCTCTGTGTAAAGTTACTATATGACAAGGGTAAATTGAAAACACATATCATGTGCTGGAAAGGACAGAAAGTTCCACAGACTGACATGAATGACGCACTGAAACGTGGACATCCTAAGTGGGG